TGAAATATATGAGTTTGTATGTAATGTATGAATATAATATACAAGTTTCACTTTTTAAATGGAATTACTGAAATCAATCTACTTTTTCATGATATTCAAATTTTATGACCAGCACCTGTATGAGCGATGCTCACAGGAACAGTAAAAACAGGGATGCAAACTATATCAGCAAGCACCCAACTGATTCATGAGTCTACCACAATGATTTTTACTCTGATGTAAAAATGTCACTGTTGTGGAGGTCTTTGAATTTTCAGAGGCAGATGGCCAAACTGCTATTTGCAATCACAGCACAGGACAGGAGAGAGAAAACTACACAGTATCTTTAAGTAGGTTTTGTATCTTTTTAAACAAAAAAGATATCAGTATCGGTTATTGGCCAAACATCTATATAAAACATCTATATAGACAACTTAGTTAATGCCATTGTTTTTACACATTATGCTACTATTGAATTGATTTTGTTCAATTTTTTTTAGAGGCCATAATTTACATTAAACAAATGATACCACATTGCACAAAGTAACAGGAAAGCATTCTTAAACTGGCATAATTCAACTGGTCCTCTATCCCCTTCTGCACATTAACTGGCTGTTAATACTCAATTTCTCTGTCGCTGAAATATTTTTTTACCCATAAATGAATTGGTGCACTAATTTGCTTATATTATATGCATTGATTTTGAATATCTTGTCTACATTTTGTCACTGGGCCCTTTTGATCAATTCTAACTTGGCTAAACATTGATTTGTTCAGTACTTCTTTTAGCTGCTGTAACTCAGACACAGGTACAGAGATGTTAGGAGAGGGGAAAATGAAAGAGCTAATCGGGGGAAAGGAGAGAGATCTGCAAAGTAAACAACAGATGGCATAAGCACGTGTCTGCTATCTACTGCAGCAGACGATGCAAGTGAATAGCACCGGCCTCCTGAGAAGTTACTATGCAACCATGGCCATAACAACATGTGGTCAAGGGTCAAGTGCTTTCTTAATGATGATGTAACATTCTACTAAGTTAGAATCAGTTTGGCCAGGTCCCAAACTTTGGTAGCAGTGACTCCATAATTGTCCATGCAGTATCCAGTTGTAACCCACCTGCCAGACAGGGTGACCCACTCACACAGAGGAAGCTGTCTGTTGGGCGTCTGTGGGTGTGTGCTTGTCCTCTCACACTCAGTGGTGAACAGAGTACTGGCAGACATTAGTCATGATGGCTGCCAGCTGCAATGACCTTATTCATGGTGGAAAAAATGTAGGAGAAAGAATGACGAAAATGAAAGGATGAAACAGTTGTGTTTGCACTTTGGCTGACTTTCTAAGGGCTGGTTGTAGATTTAGTTTAGACCTTTTAATCTGAGTGCATTCAAACTGTTCCAGCCTCAGGACTTGGTTTTGGTTTCAGGTTTAAACTAATCTTCTAAGGTTGTTAAAGTCCTGTGGCACATTATTGTAATTTCTCAGACAACCACAAACCCACGTCTGTATGGATGTGTATTTATAAACCAAACACATTTTGCACACTTACTCACTTGTGATTTTTTTCAACTAGTAATTTTCCCTTAACCTTTGAATAATCATATATTGTTAAAAGCAACGCCTCCTGTTTATCCACCCATCTTATATGATTTGGTTTCTTTTAAGACCGTTCCTTCTCTATCCACTGGAAAAAACATTGTGATTGCAGCAAGTATAAAACTGGTATTAGATAGTTATTAGCTGGGCGATCTGCTTTGGTAGCTAATCTCATGGCAGTAGCTTCACCATCGATTACAAATATTTCCAACAGGCCAAATTTATCTCTCTTGCAAACAGGAAAAATGTGGCAACACTCTGTACAGAGAATACAAAGGTTACTCTTGTACTTTTTAAGGCATCCGACTAAGAGCATTGTAGACTACAGGGTTTCTGTCCAACTACATTTTTAATGCGATTAAAAATCCCTTGTAACTGTTTTATTAAATAAAATATGCAGTACTCCTCTAAGAATTAAAATATGTATTTGTTGGAGTGTCAAGAAACCTTTAATTAGTGACCGTCGCCTTTGTGGCTTATATACTATTAAAATGTAACTCCATTGCCAATTTTTTTTTAAACAAAAGCAATAGACTAGATATTAGGCCCTTCTAGAGGGGAACATGTTTATTGCGATAAGTTAGCAAATTGCTGCACACATCCATTATTAATCATTATAACGTCTAAAAGTAGTGAAACTGTACCACCTTGAAGAGAAAGATGGATGACTAAGGTGGTGAAATAAGATTTAAAAGCTCACTTTCAGAGACCTTCTCCTCTAATTTTAGAATGAGCTTATGCTAAAAGATGTATTTTTAAGTACGGTATTGTGGAACACTTCAATTCTATATTTACTTGAAGTAAAACTCATGTATAAACGAGTAGTAATCTGCTCATGTCGAGGTGTCAGACAGAAAGGCTTAGTCTTAAGTGGCAGTTTTACAGCCATGCATATATAAAAAAAAACAAGATGATAAATACAGTAGACCAGTGGTATGTTGCAGTTAATGATGTGAGGTAAACACCAACATCACACACAGACACAGAGTCATCATCCACTTCTGCCTGAAGTGCGACTGACTTTTTTTTCCTGCGAAGAGGAAGCTTCAGCTGTCGTTCCTGGAAGAGATCGCTGCACCAGTTTAACCACACAGAGCTGCGTGTGGGTGGGTGTGAGATCATCTTTGTTCTGCCTTCTTATGCTAAAATTAAGTGTTAGAGACCAATTATTTGTGAACTGAGTAATAAAACTAGAACTATCTGAGAAAAACTTAATGTTCTTAATACTATTGCCTGTGCCTTAGGATGTAACTTGGAAAAAATGTTTGAATAAATAAGCTCTTGGCCTTTTGTTTACTTTGATTTAACATGGATCAAAGAAGACTAACATTTCATGGTTTTGATCATCTCAGAACTCACACTTTGAGAGAACAAATAAAACTGAAAGTAAATTGACCTAAAAATACGTAAAACTAAACTGAAACTTTAACACCCACAAATGAAACTCAGATGTCAAATTGAAAATGACGCAAAGAGGGAAAAATATTCTTAAAATAGAAACAACTATCTCTGGTTTTTATCAGAAACATTTGTCATTGCTTTGCTCAGAAACTTCAATATTATCAGTCGGGTGTAACATATAATGGTATCCTTCTACACAAGGATTAGGATTACCGTACAGATGACTTTTTAATCTGTGTTAGACACAAAAGCTGAAAGATGAATTAATACGCAGTGCTTTTGTTTTCCTTCTGTTGATGTTTCTGCTGGCAAATGCAATGCTCATTAAAATTAGATTAGCTAAGAGAAAGTTTGCAAGCTGTAGATTTGGCCAATATTGCACAACTGCGTAGTTTTTACAGAGTAAAACTTAAATCCATCACTATAAGCATACAAGTAAGGAAGTAATGGGCAAAATCTGAATGGGTTCTGAACCACATCATTATTAAATTTATTGAAAACAAAACTGAATAAAGAGGGAAGCAGTTATTTGTAATATCAAACGTTACCATAGAGGTGTAGCACAATATCCACCAAAGATAAAAAATACATTTTGTCTGAGAACAGCTGCTTGGAAACCTATCAAACCAGCACCATATGGGAGGAATGGAAAGCTTTCTGTGTGTGTTGAGTCAATTCACTGCTTGTAACAAAAATAGATAATTGTAAAATTGAATAAGCATTCAGGTAGAAACAATTGTTGCTCTGATTCTGGCCAACATTGTTACTCTGATACCCATATCTCCGTATGAGCGTATTAGCACGCCATGCTAATGTAAAATGGGCTAGTTGTTAACTACCTGGTTGAGCTATCTCGTCTGGTTCCTGCATAGATTATCTTTGTGGTCCTTCAGTGTTGTCTGTAAAAAAAAATCCCTTTAAAATGTCCCAACCAAACAAATGTGTTATCCTTTCTGTTTTTTAAGAATGCTGTCCTAACCTGACAGTAGCCCGATCTATATGTGTAGAACTAAGTTTAGTTCTAAGTTCTCAATCTGGGATAGCTGTTGTTCAGTCTGTCTGTGAAAAGGAGGCTCCGTTTAGGACAATACTTGGAGCTGATTGGGTGGTACGCTTTTAGCAAGTTGTAGCAGCGTGATTCCACTGCAGCCTCTTTAGTGTTTTCACAACTAGCGGAGTAAGCTGATAAATCAAACTATTTCCAAATCCTGTTGGAAGAAAAGCACAGACATCTTTCCCATTTACAAATGCACAAAGTGCTTCTCTTTATTTCTTTTTTTAAATGACAAATTGCCTAAAAACGAGTCAATTGCTGTATGAAAGGGTGAGTCCTCCAGTGTAGCCATGTTTGTTATGCCCCGGCAAGGCCCTGACTGTCGCCATTCCTACATGTCATGCCCCAAAAAACACTGCTGGCATGTCATTGGTCTGACTTGCTGGTGGTTCGGAGACGGATGAATTAGTAGGAATCTTTCAATATGGATTTATTGTGAGACTGACCATTGAGATCTGGCAACAATCAAGCTCGTAGCGCAAGGTTAAGGCTTTCCTGCAATGGCTTGTATTAGTTGTCAATGGTTTTAATCTTGCCTATCTTACCTGAAAAGCAATGTTTAGGCTGTTCACCGATCCATGTATTATTTGGTTTGGTATTGGATATTGTTTGCTAAAATTATACTCAGTAATAGTTTTTTTCTCTTGTATTTTTCGCCAGGAGCAGACGTAAATCATAATGAAGACATCTGTGGCATGAAGCCAGATCCGTCACTCATTTCCTCCTTCTTCACTTCCTTACATCTCCATTTGGTTATTGCCTCCACCTTCAGCAAGGACGCATTGATGAGGTAACGTCGAGCTCCCGTTTCGCAGCACCCACCTGCACATATACCACATTGCCTTCTCCCCTCTCCTCCCATCAACCCTTTACTCACAGCCATGGGTCAGAAGATTTCTGGCAGCATTAAATCGGTTGATGGTCGTGGGGAAAGTGGCAGCTCCCCGTCTTACCGACCAACGGCTCATCGTCGTCAACACCTGGAGCTGAGAGGTCCAGATTTCTCCAAGCCTCCCAGGCTGGATCTCCTGTTAGACATGCCATGCGCTGGGCTGGAGACCCAGCTCCATCATGCTTGGAATCCAGACGATCGCTCCCTCAACATCTTCATCAAAGATGATGATAAGTTAACATTTCACCGACACCCAGTTGCTCAAAGCACGGACTGCATAAGAGGGCGGGTTGGATACACGCGGGGTCTTCATGTGTGGAAGATCTACTGGCCTCCACGGCAAAGAGGCACCCATGCCGTGGTGGGTGTGGCAACCTCGGCGGCTCCTTTACATTCAGTTGGGTACACCGCTTTAGTAGGTTCAGACTGTGAGTCCTGGGGCTGGGATCTGGGACGAAACAGACTCTACCATGACAGTAAAAACCGGTCCCACAGTTCGCTGCCTTCCTATCCTTGTTTTCTGGAGCCAGAGGAGTCATTCACCCTCCCGGACTCCCTTCTTGTGATTCTGGACATGGATGAAGGGACATTAAGTTTTATGGTGGACGGACAGTATCTAGGAGTTGCATTTCGAGGCCTGAAAGGAAAGAAGCTGTATCCCATTGTCAGTGCAGTATGGGGACATTGTGAAATAACCATGAAGTATATCAACGGCTTGGATCGTAAGTACCATTTTTCTATTACTGATGACATGAACAAAATCCTGTCAGAGATTTCTCCCTTGACCTCATATTGTGATGAAACTGAATTTGCAAATACACTTCAATTGATTCTAAGCTACATTTAATCAGTTTAATAGAAATCACCACCAGTAAATTGGTGCTTTTTTAATTAAATATAATCTATAGTCTGTCTACTTAATATAAAGGAACTCTGTGATTGTGACATGCCCTGACACGTCAGAGATTGTGCTAAGACTTTTACAGTACTTGTGCAACTCTGTACACTTTAGGATTTCTCTACCTGCTTCATTTGGCAGCAGACAGGCCAGAGGTTAAATTGAGTTCACCAGTGGCACAAAAACTCACTTGTTCTGCTGTAGGAGTCATTAATTAACAGCTCTACGCATTTTTCCCCATTATTTGAATTATTTTCCAGTAATGTTTGATCAGAGAAATTTGTTAATCCCAAACTGTACGGGAAGCAAAATTCCTGTCTGTTATGTCGTTTAATGTTCCGCTGGCTGGAGTTTCACCAGCCAGGGGAGGTAACCCCCATAATGCACTGCTTCACAATATTATTCATGGTCCTCCAGTTATTCACAAATGAATATCTGAGAAGTTCTGTATTTTTTTTTTAGCCTTCCTTAACGTCTTTAAAGCCATTTCTCTTCCAACCATTCACATCTTGAGGCAATAATCTTTGCTTAGCGTTTCTGTAAAATTGTTTTTTCCCCAGATTCCTCAATATTATCAAGTTTTTGACTTTGACAGTTATTTTGACACACTCATCTACCCACTGAGAAAAAATTGGTTGGAAATACATTGAAACAACAACATGATTTACATCCAAACGATGTCTACATTTGGTTGAAAAGTCGTACTTTTCAGATAGCTGAAAAGACGTTGAAAACTGGGTTTGCAACATATTTTCATCGTCTGTTATTGGACTAAAGCAGGACAAAATCAGACCAACTAAACACAGCCTAATTTTAAACAAATATTTTTTGACTTAGTCAAGATTATGATGAACCGATCAGATTTAGCATAAAAGCCAACTTCTAAATGCCATCTGGTGCTTGGGGTGCTGGTGGTGGCTCCCTGCAAAGGGTCATCCTCCTGATGGGATGAAGTTCAGTTTGATTTGCAGTATAAGTTTTTTTTTACCCCTATGCACTTTGCAGTGGGGTTAGGACTTTTCTATTTTGGTCAGATGTAACCAGAGCTCCATCTTCTCCATGTTTACCTTGTTGTCTTACCAGTAATTCCCTCACAGCTTCTTCACAACTAGGATAAATTACACAAAGGTGGACTCTCTTGACTTATTGGTGTTCTGAGAACAAATGGTTGCAACACATTTTTTGTAGGGTCTCTTAATATGGGTCTGAATGTGAATGCACTCAAGACCTGTCAGAAGTGTCTAAAAGTTTGTATATTGCTTGAAGTCCAAAAAAAGATGGTGGGGTTATGTGACAAAACATAAAAAAATGTATTTCATGAGAAGCAGTTATTTCTGACAACATCTTTATTTTTCATATGGGACTGTGTCTGGCTGTTTTAGTGGTGATTTAGTCTGTCAAATATAGATGGATTTATTTTATAATAGTCTCTGTTTGTGGAAAAAATCTCACTGATGTACGTTTTTCACAGCTTTAGATGCTCATATATATATTTGTTCCCATGACAGTTGTGTGTTTGTTATGAGAGAAGGGCCAAGCTCTTTGTCCTGTCACTGTCTAAACAGTGACGTTCTTTAAAAGCCTGGTTCATAGATAAATACAGACAGACTCACACCTGCTATGATGGGAGAGTGCATGTCATGAAAACAATCCTAAGATCCAACTCCAGCTGTCAACGGGTTTGCAGAACCCCACGGGTCTCTTTTGATATCAAAACCGTGTTTTTTTTCCTATTAGTCATCACAGAGCAAAGAGGAAACCCATTTCTCTTTGTAGATTACGCCTGATTTCTCTTTTTCCAGCCATCTTGAGTTTGTCTCAGAACCTTTTTCTGAGGACCTCCACTCCACAGGGACTCCATGACACAGAGAGCCTTTTTTTCCTACTTTTAAAAAGAGGTCACACATCTCATCGCAGCTTTAAATTGGATGCTTTCGCCTTTAAAAATTGAAGCCGACAAACTAGAATATGAATCCGAACAAGAACAAATCGGGGACTGATAACTTCAAAGTATATAGTTCCAATGGTGAGAGTGTATCGCCGCATCTAGTTTTCCATTTAAGGAGCCACCTACAGGATTTCATGGTTACTCTGTGTCGTAGGCCATCAGGGAGAATATAAGGGATATGAAGTCCTATCAGAGCTCTCGCTTCCACAATCACACATACCGGCTGCTGGGAAATAAGGTCTTGCTGTTAAAATTTGGTAAATTTAATGCACAGTGGATTATCTTGATAGGCAAAAAAGGGGTTTTAAAAGGATGCAAGAAAATGTAGGAAATAGGAATCAATATTTCCGGTCAGAAATATATATATTTATATATATATATTCTTTTTTAAGGTGATAAAAGATACATGTAAAATTCTGAAGTGAAGGCAAAATACTCCCCTTATTTCATGCTGTGAAACCATTTTACTTACAATTACAGTTCCAAGTCTTAATGCAGTATGTATTGACTGATTTACACAAGTAGTAACAACAATGTTTGTCCTACTCTTATTTAATTTCTCTTGAGTATTTCTGATTTTAATTGAATAGCAAAGTAAAGTAAAGTTAGATTGAATATATATGTGTTCTCAGGCAAGCTGGATTTTTACTGCGATCAAGTTACACTAACTTAGATTGTTACTATAAAGAGATTTCTGGAATGATACATATTAGAGTAAAAGGGACTGAGTTCCAAATAAAGTCAGGTCACGCATATCAGGTTTTATTTGCAGAAAGATGTGAAGTTTTAATATGTTCTTACAGTTACGAAATACTTCATGCTTTTCTTTCACACAAACACCAAGTAAAATGAAAAGGCACAATCTTTGTGTTTGTTTGGTGACAAAAAACGACTAAAGGGTTTTAAGATGGACAATTAGAAACTACATCACTGTATATGTTGTTCACCCTACTTTAATTTGACAGAATTATAAAACATGTTGCTTCACGTAACAGCTGGAAAGGTTATCTCTTTTAGGAAATTAGTCCAAACATGTTATGCAAAATTTGATATAAAATACAAAAGAGTTAAGATAGCTGCTGTTTGGCTGAGAAAGGATAGATGGAAACAATTCTTTGACAAGAGAGACAAGTAAACAAATGTCTCCTTGAATCTTCAGGTCCAAAATAATAATTAAGTTCTTTTTTTTTTAGAGCTGTGAGAGGGGTTTTATTTATCCTTCACTGGGACAACATTCAGGTCTCATCACCTATCTATTTATTCATTTATTTATTTGTTTTCAAAGAACTGCATTACAGTAAATGCCCACCTCTCCCACAGCCTACATTATTTTCCCAAAAGGAAGCTGTGTTCAGTGGCACTTGTTGTGTTTTTAGACAGAAAAGAAACAAAGAGCAGAGCGTCTGAAAGTGCTCTGCTGGGATCAGTGCAAACTCTAAAGGCGGCAGAGTTCAGCTGCTGTAGAAAAAAAGCACAATTGAAAATTTTCTTCATTAAAACTGGAGTGCATATTATTCATCCTATTAACTATGCTTTAGACAGATTGTGTTAAAGTGGAAAAAGTAGCCTTAAGCGTTCCTTTTATTGCAGGGTATAGCTCACAGTCGGTGTTTTCAGTTATTATGATTGAATCAGCTTGTCTGACTTGTGGATGACTCAAATAGTGACAATGAAGTCATAACTGCTGTCTGCTTTCTGAGAACATGAGTGTTTGCATACAGCAGGTTCTGGCCAGACGTATCACAGGTAAACATTTATCATATGATGATGAAGTCTTCTCTTGCCGATGGGTTTGAGAGTTGCACATGTGTGGTTCTGCTTATCAAACAGCTCCCTCAGGCCTTCAGTAGGGTCTTCATCCAACAAGCCTTCCTGTGAGAAGACAGTGCGGAGCATTGCCATTGAGGTGGAAAGAACATGACTGTGGGGTATTAGCAAAAGATTTACCGACGCGCCGTCTGCCTATGACACAGTTTGTTTTCTCTTTACTCCAGCTCAGGCCCCTGTTGCACCATTATAATCATTTCACTCCGCCTCGGATCATTGCTTCTTGGTCCCTCAGCAACAGCTTTAGAAACGAAGATAGCAGCATTTTAGTCTCAAATTTGGATTTCTTTAAACTAAAGCATTTAGTTGATAGTCTGATATGTAACACAAGCAGATGGAGAGAGAGTTTATATTAAATTTACTGTAAGAAGGAGTGAAATTGTTAATGCTTTCTGTAATTTAAGATATTCCTCTTGCTTAATATAAGCGGTGAAGTCATTTCAGCTGCCCAGATAGACTTGGTATCTCGAATTGTGAATACACTACCGTTTTTTACATGTTAATATGCCAGCTTCTATGAAATTTATTAAATATTTCTCATATGCAGTAACCCATTTTTCCCTGCTGTCTTGCCTGAATTATTTTATCAATTAGAAGTGTTTGACATGCTTCATTAAGAGCCATCTCATGGCTGAAAACAAAAACACAGCGATTCTGATATTTCCTTCCCTGTTAGCAGCCCTCTCACTGAGCTGCAACAATGTGATCTTCTCATGGACAACCTTTTTTTTTTTTTAGCCTCATTTAAGACCTATTTATGCTCAACATTAAATATATATTGATATGAACTCAGTCGTTCTTCTGTATTTATTCTGTGTTTATTTTAGTCCTCCAGTGTCAAGGAGCTTTAGGAAACATCCTAATAAGGACTTAATGATTTTGCCAAAAATCTAAATTGCGATTATTTTCAACTAAAATTGCAATTTCCTTTTGATTTTTATTTGCACTAACCCCAAGGTTGCAGATGTTTTACTCCAGAGTTTTGGTTTTTGAAACCTTGCCTGCCCAGAATCCTTTGTTACAGGACTTTACGGTAACTATTGTGTGAA